CAGGCCAGAGGCTGGGGATGCAAGTGGGGGTGGGATTTAAAATAAAAAAGAAAAGAACCAACACAACAGATTAAACTAATTTCTGTCACAAGGGCATTTTGCTTTTTAATCTTGCCCAGCTTTGCTTTTTTTATTGGTGAAGCCAATGGGAGACTGGGAGTGGGGAGGGGGTGAGGGGAGGGGGGTGTTAATGCTTTCTTTGCAAGTGCAAGAAGGGAATTTAAAGCAGAAAGCAGAGGGCACCTTTTCCCGTGGACGTGATCTCGTCTCGTGGTGAATTTAAAACCAAAATTAATAATTTAAGCATTATTTCATTAAAAAAAAAAAGGAAAATGGAAGAAAAGGCTTCTCCCTGGGGATTAGAAAGTGGCTGAGAATGTCCCCTCGAGGTGCCAAGCTTGACCCTGTGGTCCCCATGGGCACCAGAGACGAGCACCGAGAGCTCAACCCAGCTTGTCCCCGTGGTGTCACCAACCCCCTAGGGACTCCCCAGCCCCTCCCTTAACCCAATGGGAGACTGGGAGTGGGGAGGGGGTGAGGGGAGGGGGGTGTTAATGCTTTCTTTGCAAGTGCAAGAAGGGAATTTAAAGCAGAAAGCAGAGGGCACCTTTTCCCGTGGACGTGATCTCGTCTCGTGGTGAATTTAAAACCAAAATTAATAATTTAAGCATTATTTCATTAAAAAAAAAAAGGAAAATGGAAGAAAAGGCTTCTCCCTGGGGATTAGAAAGTGGCTGAGAATGTCCCCTCGAGGTGCCAAGCTTGACCCTGTGGTCCCCATGGGCACCAGAGACGAGCACCGAGAGCTCAACCCAGCTTGTCCCCGTGGTGTCACCAACCCCCTAGGGACTCCCCAGCCCCTCCCTTAACATTGCTCTGATTGTCTTGGTGTTTGGAAAGGTGGGGAGAGGGGACAGACAAGGACACCCCAGTGCCACCCCCACCCCCAAACCCTCCACAGCCCCCTCGGCGCGATGGCTTTGGATCCGTCACGTGGCAGAGGGTGCCCGTGAGAGGCTGAGGAACCCCCCTGGGACACCCACAACTGCCCCAGGGACCAGGAAAAAGAACCAGAAACCAAAGAAAAAGGGTAAGAAAAAGAAAAAAACAAACCCCAGGAGGGCGAGGGGGTCAGGAGGGGAGAGAAGGGCTCAGCTCCATATTCCCAAGGGTGGTCAGAGAGCATCTGTCGGGCTGGAAAAAGGGGGATTTATTCTTCCTGTTGTGTTTTGTGGGATTTTTTTTTTCACCATTTTAGAACACTTCCACATCTTTTCTGTCCTGACCAGCAGCAGTACAAACACAAAAAAGCAAGTTCATCCTTTTGCCCAAAAAAAAAAAGTGTTAAAAATTAAAAGGGGGGAAGGAAAAGGGGAAAAAAAAAAAAAAAAAGAAACATTTTTTAAAAAAAAGAGGCAAGGTTTTTATAACAATAATTAAAGTAATAAAAACATACAAAACTTTTTTTTTCTTTTAATATATACACAGTACAAGGCTGAAGCACCTTTTTTTTTTTTTTTTTCCTTTTTTTTTGTCTTAAAAAGTGAAACCAGAGTGCCTGGCTTGGCCTGTATCCCTGCCCCTTCCCCGCCAAACAGGAACAAAAAAGGTACCTTCAACCACTTTATTGACTCTTTTATTGTTTGATAGCGAAGTGCATTTCCAGTGGAAAAGCCCTGGGATTTGGAGGAAGAGGAGGGGAAGGCTCCTGGTGCCATTCCAGGGATGTGGGTGGGGGGAGATGGAAGGTGGGCTCAGTGGCACCAGGTCCCACGGGGCTGCTCCGGCCTTAGTGTTGTCGGTGGAGTCTTTCTTTGTAATTTAAAAAAAAACAACCCAAAAAAACAAAACCAAAACGACCAAAAAAAAGAAAACCCAACAAAAATGGAGCTCTCTAAAGTGTGGGTGGGTGGAGGAGAGCCCGAGCAGGGCTGGAGGTTGCTCGCAGGGCACGGGAGGGGCCGGGCTCCCGTGCTCCTTCTGCTTCATGCATGGCACATTCTCCATGGAACTTAGTTCTTTTTTTATTATTATTATTATTATCATCATTTTTTTTCTTCTTTTTTTTTTTTCATTTTTATTATCTTTTTTTTCTTTTTTTTTTCTTCGTCTTCTTTTTTTTTTTTCTTTTTTTTTTTTTTTTT